CGCCATTGTCTTCGTTGACATGCGAACATTAATTAAACGAGCCGCTGCAAGGTAAAAAAAAAAAACGGGAGAGCATAAACCGACAGAGAGGGAGAGAATGAGAGACTGAGACGCAAAGAAAGGGAGGGAGAGACTGATAGACACACAGAAGGAGAGGGAGAGATTGACGCACGCACATAGGAGGAAGGAGAGACCGATAAACACATAAAGGAGGGGTGGGAGAGACTGTCACACACACAGAGGGGGAGGAAGAGACTGACACAGATACAGAGGAGCAGGGAGAGACTGATACACACACAGAGGAGGAGGGAGAGATTGACGCACGCACATAGGAGGAAGGAGAGACCGATAAACACATAAAGGAGGGGTGGGAGAGACTGTCACACACACAGAGGGGGAGGAAGAGACTGACACAGATACAGAGGAGCAGGGAGAGACTGATACACACACAGAGGAGGAGGGAGAGATTGACGCACGCACATAGGAGGAAGGAGAGACCGATAAACACATAAAGGAGGGGTGAGAGAGACTGTCACACACACAGAGGGGGAGGAAGAGACTGACACAGATACAGAGGAACAGGGAGAGACTGATACACACACAGAGGAGGAGGGAGAGATTGACGCACGCACGTAGGAGGAAGGAGAGACCGATAAACACATAAAGGAGGGGTGGGAGAGACTGTCACACACACAGAGGGGGAGGAAGAGACTGACACAGATACAGAGGAGCAGGGAGAGACTGATACACACACAGAGGAAGAGGGAGAGATTGATACAGATACAGAGGAGCAGGGAGAGACTGAACACAGACAGAGGAGGAGGGAGAGACTGACAGGCACAGGAGAGAGGGGAGAGACTGATACACACACAGAGGAGGAGGGAGAGATTGACACAGATACAGAGGAGCAGGGAGAGACTGAACACAGACAGAGGAGGAGGGAGAGACTGACACACACACAGAAAGGGAGGGAGAGACTGACAGGCACAGGAGAGAAGGGAGAGACTGATACACACACGCAGAAGGGAAGGGAGAGACAGATTGACCTACACATCCAGAAAGAGAGAACACACACACCGAGGAGTCGGAGGGATATTTGCGCGACTACGAAACCGTCGAATCCCTAACGAGTACACATTTTACTGCCGGTACGCGAGATCGGTGGGAATATAATAAATACGTTCATGAAAATACGTGCATACACGGTGAACAAATAAAATCGTCCATAAAACCACGCCGTTACGTCGGGGCGCGGCGCGACACAATGTGCAACCGGGAGAAATTTGTTCTTATGCGGTGCACGCAACCGTTGAGCCCTCTCGTAAAGCTAACTTGTATGTTACGTCGCTTAAATGTACCGTCGAGCCAAGGTCATCCATCTTGACAGCGATTTTCCTACGCAAAAATCCCTCTGTTTCGTCGCTGTGTACAGGTAATTCCCGATGGCGTTTCCTCTGTAATCGATGGGTCACCCATCAGTGGGAACAGTAAAATCGACGAGAATAAGAGAATGAAGAAGAGAGAAAGAGAGAGAGAGGGGAAAGAAATCAAATATAGCCGATATAGGTGCACGCGTATATAACGTCGCTGCGAGAGACAAACGAGATGGAGGGAGGCGAAGGAACGATGGCAGAAATTTACATATCATTATTTACGCGAACCTTATTCACACACGATTAGAGCGCGCTCTGAAGTATCCGCTCTCTGTGCACAGGCTGGAGTTCAACGGAGCTTTTGTGCCTCCTCTCCCCCATTCCCGCGCGCGCTACGCAGGGCGGAAACATTTTACGCGGGAATAAAGCGTTTTATCGGGTGCTTGTTTCCGTTTGATTAAAGGAGACCACGTCGATTGTTCCTCGGCTCGCGGTGATTTATCACGCGTCGAATCGGATTCCCCGATAATTTCCACGCGTTACAAATGAGAATTGTTTGGAAAAAAGCGATAAATTCCTGGCTGGTCCATTACTTTAATTGAATAACGCCTCGGGGAACGGAAGCGATGCCTCCGAACAAGGACCGGAAGCTGCAAATCTAACGACGGTACTACTTTGTTAACTTTGGTGAAGTCTTTCTTTGTAGGAAATAGAGTGTGTGTGTGTTGATTGGTTACAAATATCGACCGATCGATGATTTATTAGGTATTCTTTTGTAATTAAAAAGTGGTGCACAAAATTCTCACAGAAATAACGAATGAAAATTATAACGCTAATATATTGTACGCACTTTACGATTATTAGTGAAATTATTTCAATCCTGCATCACTTGATGGTTTCATAATTTTAACAAAATTTGTCTTCTTTTTTGTAAATTCCAGAAAAATTTTGAGGCTCCTTCATTACCGAGAAATGGTATCGTATCAACAGATGGTAAAACATTCGTTATATCTTCAGTCGGTAATGCAGAAATAACCTGATAAGTTATCGACACTGTTTTACCATCATCAGTTTAATTCAAATTCCTACATTTCTATCTTCCACACCAGATGGCACTACGATGCCGTTTAAAACCTCTGTCTCACTTTTCACACAAACTACGAATTAAATTAATTCATGAAAATCTATCACCTGTTATTACCGATCAATTTAAACTGTTCCATATCACTGGGATATCTTTCAACTACAAAATAAATTGATCTAAATATATCCTTGCACCGTGCAACCTGAAGTGTCTGCCCCATGAAAATCGATACGTTCTATCATCCTATTATCCACGGAAATCAGCTGAAGCTGCATCATACGAATAATCCCATTACGTAACGCCTATCTTTACTCCATTCCACGCACTAACCTCCTCGAAGGGTGT